AACCCAGTGGATCCTTGAGGGTTCTTGGGCACTGTTCTGTGTTGATGGGCACATGGCTGCCCACATTAGCTAACTGCTAGGAGCCTGAATACTGACTTCCCAGCATTGATATCTGTGTGCAAATAGATGTACACCAATCCTTAACAGGCATTTGTAAATTAATAAGAACTTTTGAAAATAAAGAAAAATTGAAAAAATCTTAGCAAAAGGCATTTATGTTGAAAACAAGCTACAATGAGGCAAAACTTACTTTTCTACTTACTTCCTGAGAATTAATATAATTGCTATTTTTAAAGGAAAAAAAAAAAAATGAACAGCACATGTATTGAAGAACAGCATGACCTGGACCACTATCTGTTTCCAATTGTTTACATCTTTGTGGTTATAATCAGCATTCCAGCCAATATTGGATCTCTATGTGTGTCTTTTCTGCAGGCAAAGAAGGACAATGAACTAGGAATTTACCTTTTCAGTTTATCACTCTCAGATTTGCTGTATGCGTTAACTCTCCCTCTATGGATTAATTACACTTGGAACAAAGACAACTGGACTCTGTCCTCCACTTTGTGCAAGGGGAGCGCCTACTTGATGTACATGAACTTTTACAGCAGCACAGGTTTCCTCACCTGCATCTCTCTCGATCGATATTTAGCAGTTGTCTACCCACTGAAGTTTTCTTATCTGAGGACAAGGAGATTTGCATTCATGGTCAGCCTCATCATTTGGGTTTTGGAATCAATCTTCAATGCAGTCATGTTGTGGGAAGAGGAAATCACAGTTGAATATTGTGATGTCAGAAAGTCTAATTTTACTTTGTGCTATGACAAATACCCTTTGGAGAAATGGCAAATTAGTCTCAACTTGTTCAGGACGTGTGCCTGCTATGCAATCCCTTTGGTCATCATCCTGTTTTGCAACCAGAAGGTCTACAAAGCCGTGCAGCACAATAAAGCCACAGAAGAAAGCGAAAAGAAGAGAATAATAAAACTGCTGGTGGGCATCACGCTGACTTTTGTCTTGTGCTTTACTCCCTTCCATGTGATGCTGCTGATCCGCAGCATGCTAGAGGGTGACGTGAACTTTGTCAAGTCTGGGAAGCACACTTACAAAATATATAGAATCACGGTCGCATTAACAAGTTTAAATTGTATTGCTGATCCAATTCTGTACTGTTTTGTAACTGAAACTGGGAGGTCTGATATGTGGAATGTATTAAAATTCTGCACTGGGAAGTTTAATAAAGCACAAAGACAAAGAAAAAGTATACTTACCATGTCTACAAAAGATACTGTGGAGTTAGAGGTCCTGGAATAGCCAGAAGAGAGCTCCGGTGGTGCAGTGTCTAAGGCATTTGATTACTAACCAGAAGGTTAGCAGCCTCTCTGTGGAAGGAAGATGGGACAATCTACTTTTGTAAAGATTTACTGCCTCGGAAACCCAATTGGGCTTGTTATGAGTCAGAACTGACTCTATGGCAGTGAGTTTGGAATAGACCAGAAAGGTGTTGTTTGTTTTTTTTTGGTTTTTTTTTTGGCGGGGGTCTTTGGTTTTAAGATACACTGTAATCTATCATCAAGATTACATTTTGAAAAGGAACTTTAGTATGGAAGGGATCTATGGGTTCCAGCTGAATGAATATTTATTCCTCTCCAATGGAAATATGTTAAACATGTGTTGTATAGCTCCTTGTCTTTTGTTAAATAAGGTGTATTAAATAAATTTAATATTTTCTTAATGACTCCTGGTAATTTTTGTTCACAGAAATTGTTTGTACCTGTGCTATGATCCCTCAGACATTAGTAAGGTGTGAAGAATTGTGCATCTTTAAATCAGTGACATTTGTGTCTCATTTTAATTCTTTTCCTCACTGATTCCAGACTATCATTTGTCACTTCTCCCAACTTTATCTACTTGTTTCCAACAACCTCAACTATTAAACACTGCATCTGTGTTCTTTTACTCATTAACCAGTATCTGTGGAGCCCTCTCATGTGCTGGGTTGTGTGGTAGGTCTTAGGCTGACAAAATAAATGGTCTTAGGCCTCCTGAGGCTTCCATCAATTAGGAAACGTAATAATCGAGGTGGAAGGACCTCTATGAAGTCAAAGTCAGGCTCTGAGTGTGTGTCTGCAGGCCTCTCCGTGAAAGATTGCACATAAGCTCTGCAAATACTCTTTCTAATCCAGGATGTAACTTTTTAATTTAACAAACTCAAATTAGACCTCTTAGATAGATAGGACAGTGAAGAGACTGAATACAGTTTTTGAAGTGCTCACTTTCCCTCTCTAATCTAGGCGGGCCTCATGGATGAAGAAAACTTTAAAAGACATCAGAAACAACCACCTTTATGGAGCCCCTAGGAGTCCTGCTGGTGCGGTGGTTAAGTGCTCAGCTGCTAAGCAAAAGGTTGGCATTTGGAACCCACCAGTCACTCCACAGGAGACGGATGTGACTGTCTGCTTCTGTAAAGATCACGCCTTTGGGAATCCTATGGGAGAGTTCCAATCTGTCCTATAGAGTCACTCCAGGTCAGAATCAACTCAACGACAGGTTTGGTTTTTTTGGTATTTGGACCCTGGGTGCTGCAAATGGTTAGGTGCTTGGCTACTAACTATAAAAGTTGGTGGTTCAAATCTACCCAGGGGTACCTTAGAAGAAAGGCCTAGTGATCTCCTTCCAAAAGATCATAGCCACTGAAAACCCTGTGCAGGATGAGTGACAAACTGACTCAATGGCAACTGGTGTAATTGTTAGGGGTTTGAGCTGTTGTTCAAATCATAAAGCATCATCTCTAGAACTCCTTGAACAAATCTGCTTCCCAAACTGATATTTTATTTTAAGCTAACAGTCTCCCCATGATTTTAGATTTCTATTCTTCAATTTTACGATCAAACTAAAAAAATTATTTATCAATTGCCTCTGTTGACTTTCTTAACTTCATTTATTTCTTTTTAATTAGACAACGCCAATTTTAAAACACATTTTGTGACGCAGTGCATATAGGCATTTGCTTTTGCCAACACTTTTACCTTACCCTGTGCTTCTGCCCTAGTCACTTCTGTCATCACATTGTCATTCATATATGAGGCTCCTGTCCTTTTCTGGCTAACCCATCCATAGGTTGCTATGGAAACGTGACAGCTACTATAATACCCTGACCCAGGAAGGCCCTTGCGATAACAAATTTTTTGTCTAGGTCCGCTGGATGACCATGCCATGGAACAAAAAAGCTGTTCCTTCAATAGACACACACATAGACACACATAACACATATTCACAGATAAACATAACACACAGCCCCAGATACACACACACAAACACACACATCACATATTTACAGTCACACAGAGGATGTTTTCAGATACACAGAAACACATAACACATATCACAACACATACACTCAGACTCACATAACACATACTCAGATACACACATACAGATACACATATACACAGATACACAACACATATTCATAGACACACACAAACAACCTTTACCCATCTCACAAATCAAACAAAAATCTTTTGGCCCTTTGAGCATGTTCTTGTTCTTGTTTTGTGAAGTGTTCAATACCAACTGGAAGAAAACACAGTAACTCCTTACCTGCTGATATCACACCCCATCTGGATGCTTCCATTTTCCTGTTTACTGACTAAGCAGCCAGAAGTACATTATTAAGATTCTCCCTCCCTGTCCCTCCTTCCTTTTCCCTCCTCCACCCAGAACTGGCTGCCAAGTGTTGACATTTGCATTTTTTCAATACTGTTATTCCTGGAAAAATCCAGCTTGGACTGAGATGTTTTCTTTTATTTACCTCTCCTGGATAAATACTTTTGGAGAAGATAGCAGAATTAAATTAAAACAGGAATGTACTGTTTTAGAATTATTCTGTGTCCATAACATCAGGCCTTTGACTGGTTTCAACAGTTTAGTCATGGCCAACGCAGCAAAACCAGCACAGACTCAAATGTTTAAAATTTGGGAGATACAGAACATTAACTGGAATGGGAAAAATTACGACAGAAGCCCTGGAATAGGGGACTCTAAAGAGGTTTAGTGAGCCCCTCCTGGAGCCTATGTGGGAGACTGTGTTATTGCCAGGACGGGAAAATAACACACTTTCAAAGTGGCACAGTTAGCTGCCATCTCTGAGCTGTCACCGCTATTTTCGGTTCAACCTGTCAAGAAACTTGGTTACTATGCAACTCGCACGCTACTTTTGTCTTCTAAAAGGAGATTAAGTTTCTAGCAGGGCTTCAACCCATTAAGTTTTCCCATTCTGGTTAGCTTTCTGGTTCACTCATATTTCAAAAATTAGGATCTGTTCCGATGTTGTTTTGTCAACCATGACTAAACTGGGCTGAACTGGTTTGAAGCCCTGCGTAATAAAAACACCTAATTCTATTCAAGTTAATGTATCTATGTATCTATCTATCTATCTAACTATGAGGCAGAGAGAGATGGTGGCTCAGTCAGACATATCATGCCATCCCACTACAGCAAAGACATGTGGAACCGACATACATGACAGTCTTGGAACCCTGAACAGCAAACAGAAGGATGAAGAATTAGATTGAGCCCTGAATGGAAGGAGAAACTGGATGAAAGCAGTGAACAAGGAGACATAAGGATCATGCATGCCCTTCAGGCTGGCCTGAAGGGTGGCCATCTTGAGACAAAGCAAGCATCCCTGGGCGAGGAGCACAGGAAGGCAGCCTCATGGACTCCGCAATATGAGAGAGATACAATGCAGACAAATGCGGTGTGAAGCAAGGTGAGCAGTACGTGAGCCAGATCTAAGGAAGGAGGGTGACGGCTCCAGGGATCCAGGAGACCACAGAGCAGGGAGGGAGCCAGAAAATAGGGATAGAACTACTCACCACTGGTCATTTGGGTTGAAGACCCACATGGAGGGGAGAGTCCATGGAGTGGTGCCTAGAGACACTGGACTCCAGACAGGCCTACCCCCTCACACTGAGTGAAGACAGGGCCCTGATCACTGGCTAAACTCACCCAGGGGTGCACCAGCCCCCACACTGGTGACCAAAAAACAGAGAAGTACATTCTCCCTCTTATTGCCCTCCCACATACCCTCCTGGTCACCAGGGGTGTGGTCCACCACCCCACCCACCCAGCCACCAGTGACACCCCCTCACCACCCCTCCACTGCCCAGCAGCCTGTAGTGCAAGTTCCCATGCTGCTGCACAAATGGCCAGTGGTGCACATGCCCAGCCCAGCCCACCTCCCGCTACCCTCTGCTACTTTGTTCCCCTGGCAGCCAGGGGTGGGAGCTTTTGCAGCTCATGTGTTGTGTACTTGCTGCCACAGCAATTGGCAGCATACACTCCTGCTCGGTGCTGCACCGAAAGCCTGTTGACCAGTGGCACATGCTTCCAAGGTTTGAAATCGTGTACCCCATCAACCACCCTTGCCACCCTTCCAACAGGTGCTCCCATCCACCACCACCTCACTTCCCTGACAGCCAGAGGCACAACTATTGCATGCTGAGCTAGAGATTGGTAGCACTCATGCCACCACCCACTAAGTGATCCATGGTGTACTGTTGCACAACCAGCTGGCACCTAGAGGCACATCGTCACCTCACCTGCCCTCCTCCACTGCCCCACTCCCCTCACAACTGGTGGTTCAAGCTCTCATACCACCTTCTCAATGACTGGGGACACAAGGCCCCTTTCCCCTTCCCTCCACCCCCAAATATGGTGGGGTGAACTCTCATGCTGCCTTAATGGATACCAGGGACCCATACACCCTCACCTCAACCACCTGGCAACTGGTGAAGCACACTCACAAAACCCATAACCCAGCAAATGGCAAAAGCACAACCTTCACTCAAGCCCAGGAACTGGACTGCCAGCAACATCTCCTCAGAAACAATGTCCAACACATCTCGACAAGTGCCACCTACACTTCTACTAACAACAAGCAGGGGTTCCCCCTGCCCTCAGCCAATGTCTGGCCAGCTGCAACATCACACATCCCACACCCAGATCATTCTAATAGATTAATCACTTATGCACTGAAACCCCTTTTATCCCCCACTATCTACTGAAATGCCTATTTATGCTCATACAGGGGCCTTGTCCAGTCCATTTGGGAAGCACTCTCTTACGGCAGCTGTGGTAATGTCCTGCCCTGACAGCCAGTGAACACACTATTCGCTAACACCGACCTGGAAAGATGCCAGGGTACACTGCCAGCTGCTGTCTTGCCCAACTGATAGGTGATAGGTGGTGAACACTCCTGTGCCACAAGATTAGCAGCCAGTGAAGCACACACGCCCTGCCCACATGGA